AAGTAATTTATCTGAAATTATAATCCAGTTTATTTCTGGCATCCTTGTTTAATGACTATATTGCCCTCTTGTGGCAGATTATAATTAGTAAATATTAAATATACTGGTTGATGTGTCTTAAACAGGTGCTAAGGCAACCTGTCAGTGTCTGAGTTTTACATTCATTTTGATTCTCTGTATTAATAAATGCTGTTCACCAGTTCTAGTGTTAAGTTACATTTTCCGTGTAACATCCTAAAATCACAATTTATTGGCGTGTGTTAGGAACAATCTGCATACAATCATTTGGTTATCTGGCTGGCCTTTACTGCATCCTGATGTCAAATCCTAGTAAAGCCAGTTTGGTGCAACAGTTTCTTTTCTGTGTGAAATGATTCACAGCAGTCACAGAGTCAAAGTGCCACCAGGGCAGATGCGGATATTTTTAGACGCCAGATTCAACACACGATTGTTCTCTCTGCTTCACAGCTCATCTCGTTATAATCACTGATGTGATCGAGGGCTCGAGGAAAGCCTCGGGTGAAGTTATCCGCTTTTTTTCTCCAGGAGAGGAAGCATCAAGCTGGTGGGATTATTTGAGAAGGATTCATTCAGTCAAACCTTTCAAGGAATCTAAAGTCAATATTTCACGTGACGAACAGATGGTGGTTTTGGTTCTTCATCTGCTAAGACTGTGATGGAGGTGCTGTGCTTGAATACTTCATTTCAGCTTCTTTGTCTAAGGGGAGAGTGATGCAAAGAACTCCCTTTAACCACAGAAAAAGTGTAAAGAATTAGGTAATAAAAGAATCTTAATATAACCTGATTTAATAAGGTGCAATTTCTCCTAGCAAGAAAAGCTTGTATAGCTGTGACACATTTACACATGTATAAAATTAATATTGTGATGCTCTTATGACGGTGAAAGTCATTGCTGATCTCTGATTACATAGAGACCAGTCCAGAGTGATTTATATAAATTACAGGGACATATTAAAGGATGTGTGACTAAATCCATTTACACTGCTACATATTCTGACCTGCTGCAATATCAGGATTAGAATAAATAATCAGGTCAAAGGTTTCTCAAGTAACTGTAGTTGAATAAATTCTCGCCCACCAAGACAGATACTTGAAAATACACGTGTACTGCAATGATACAGTGCCCATGTTTGTGTTACCTTTGGTTTAAGGTATTTTTCAGAACTAACATGATACTGATTTTTACTAAACAAGGTGATGGATATTTAGTCAGTGTTTGGACCCAATCTACAATTGCTAATAAAATGAATTGGATAAAAACAACTCAACAACACCATTAAGAAAAAACAAAAACAAACCAAAACAACCTAATATTAGATCTGATAACTGACCAGGCTGATAATCAGTCAGTACCTAATTCATATTGGATTTTGTGCTGTACTCTGAGAATGTGGACCCCAGCAGAACTTGCAAACGCTGCAGCAGAAGCTATTGGGAATCCATCCATCCATCATCTATACACCGCTTAATCCTCACTGGGGTCATGGGGGGCTGGAGTCTATCCCAGCTGATTTAGAGCGAAGGCAGGGGACACCCTGGACAGGTCACCAGTCTATCACAGGACTACACTTAGAGACAGACAACCAAGCACACTCACATTCACACCTACGGACAATTAAGAATCACCAATTCACCTTAACATGTTTTTGAACTTGTGGGAAGAAGCACGGTGAGAGCATGCAGAAAGATCCCAGGTGTCCTCACCGGGATGCGAACCGGCGACCTTCTTGCTGCGAGGCAACAGTGCTACCAACTGTGCCACCTTGCAGGGAATCCAAAAAATCCAAATAAAAACAAACTATTGCGCTAAAGTACAGTTTTTAAGCATTTTACTGGGTGTTTCCATTTTTCAGCTCAATTTATGTGATACCTTTTTGTAGGAGGAACTTGGAGATTCAAACTATGAATACAAAATATAATCAACAAATAAATACTCACTTATTGTTATGAGTTAAGATAAAATGTCATTGAACGTGGACAGGAAAAGCTACCCAGTTGTATATAAAGTAGGTATAGGCAATAATTTCAATACAGTAACATAACATTCATTATTTTTTAATAATGTATGTTATGTTTCATACTGTATAATGACTGCTTTTATGTTTGGTATTCAACCATTAAAACACAACACATTAGAACACAGCAAGCGTTAGCACTGTCTAATAAAACTATTTTTTTATATATAGTGCTAATTCACAACATGTGTCATCTCGTAGCACTTCACTTTCCACTTTGTCCTCCTGTGTGCGGGCAGCCCTCCTTGTTCCTATTGGCTGTGCGGTCATAAGTCACAGCGTGCAGGGGTCAAAGTTAAAAGTTTAACAAATTTGAACTTCGAACTTTGATCGCAAAGAGCACGCAGTCTCTTCGACCTGCGCCCTGTGCTTTAATGGCGCAACAGTTCTTTAAGTGTTTTATGTTACCTGGCTGCAAGAAAAATTAGCCTTGTTAGTTCCTGTCACAACTTTCTCAGCACCAAACAGCAGCCAGACACAGTTAGCAACTAGCTGCTGAACATAATCAAACATGTAGCAGCTCATAAAACAGATTATTCCCTTACTAGATGGTGGAGACCAAAACTGAGGTAAAACAAGGATTTTTACTGGACTTCACATTTGTCACATGTCCAAATAAGTGCTCATGTTGCTCTGTTGCTAACATTTAAACGAGGACCACGGACTATCGCTGTAAAGCCTGAAGTTTGGCCTTTGGGCGTCACTATCTTAACTATCGTATTCTATTCATTAAAATGCATTCAAGTATTAACTGTTAGAAAGTTGCACATTAGTTTCTAAATTTTTGATTCAATGAAATGCAGCAACTAAAGTTTACTTGCTTCTCACACTTTTGAGGTTTTTAGTCACTAGTTTGTCCATGTTCTTTGAGCCCCTCACTACTTTTTGATGCTTTTGGATGGTGTACTTTCAAAATAACCTCAAATAACTCCTCTTTGACTGCAAGTTTAATAGGATGGTACTGCTGGGCATTCTGATTTTCTGTGGGAGCATCTTAACAAAGATTGCTACACTTTCAAAAAGCCTTTTAGACTTCTGCGTCACCGTCAGAGTGACAATTTAGCTGGAGCTTTCATCTCCAGTTATAACAACGTGGTGCATTCCAGTGAATTGCAGCCTTGTAATTATATTTTTATGAGCACATGTCCTCACAATGGATTAAGCGAGAGGAAACATAAAGGTTAGGTTAGGTAATGAAACTGGGGGAAGGTATAAATGTCTGCAGAGATGTATTCATGCTTTAAAGCCGGTGCACAGACGCTCACTTGCGTTTCACCACAGAACAGATCAGAAACCCACGTAATGGGATGCTAATAGGACTAATAAATGGAAAAGCTGTCCCAGTGTGTGGGATTAATGCTGCTCCCGGAGGGACGTCAGTCACGGTCGCTGTCTGCTCAATTAAATGTTTAGCTAACACAGGTTGCTAATGTGAACAAACACAGAGGATTGAACTGGCTCCGGATGCATCCGTTTTAAATGTGGAAACTGCTGGGATCCATCTAAAAACTTTTCAGTTTGTAACTTTATTTATTTTTTTTATTGTTATTTGCTAAATGCAGTTTTGCACTGTGATCATGTTTCATCTCTCTCCATGTGACAGGCAGAACAAATGCAGAGTATAATGCAGTCACAATAAATGATCAGCATTATCGTTATAACCCCCATTACTGCTGACTGCATGGTGACAGTTGTGGCCTTTATGTTCCCTGTACTGACATTATGGAGGTTTCAGAATAAGGGTTTCTCTTTACTCACTTAAGATTTAGAAATCAGGGTAGTTTTTTTCCCCCCATTGGTAGGGATGGTTAAAGTTAATAAGTCTACAACCACAGCTATTGATTTAGGTAAAAAGATTTTTTTTGTCTTTATCAAATCAAACAGCAGATCACTTTCTAAAACATGATGACAGAACCATTTCACAGTATCGCAGTAAATGATTTAAATGTAGCCTTTCCTCAACCTTGATTGAATATAAGGTAATGGGTTAATGAATCAAAAGATTTATATATATATACACACACACACTGATTTCTGTACAATTCTACATTTCACAACCCCTTTCACTGTTTAGCTGCTAACATACATCTGTTATATATTAAAAATGTGGAATGCAAGATGTTTACTTGGTCCAATGTTTATTTACACTGGTTTATCTTGCCAGCCTAATTGGATTTACCCATAAGGTTCTGGAAAAACAGCAATTATTTTGACAGTTCTGCCCTAAAACATACCATGCTTTAACATCTATTTTCCTCTAAATTGGATCATCATTTACAAAATGCCGTAATAAAGGAGACGTAAACTAATGATTGAGATCATAAACATATTTTGAAAATGTTTTCTGAGGTAACAGATCAAGTGAGTAGTAAGTAGTATCATTTTCTCATAGACTTTAAAAACAATCCGTAGTCTTTTTGCAGACAGAGGAGTCGCCATGTTCTGGCTGTTACAAAGAATACAGGTTTTAGGTTCTTCTTTTCAGACCCAGAAGTCCATCTTTTATATACACACTAGGTTTTGAACTCACATTTGTGTAAGGCCTTGGACTGTTTGTATATGAACTGTAAGGATTAACAGTAACTTAGACTACACAACTTTACCATACTTAAAAAAATATATGTTAAAAAAATGGTGTGCACTACTTTAAAATGCCATTCAACCCCTACCATTTGGAAAATACATTTAAACAGTTTATGATTGAACAGCTGTCTAAATAAAACATAAAAAAATCTAACTGATTCAAGGAAACAGGAGAACCCCTGTTTACCAGTGTCCTTAACGTGAAACCTGTGCTTATTTTTTGAGCCTTTCAATTAACGCGATCAATCAGCTGGAGCCACAGTCCCCGCCCCTCTGTGCGCCTGCGCAGAGCGGGGCGGGGAGCTGTCCCTGTCAGTCGGTGCTGGAGTGTTTTCACAGCAAGCAGCAGCTTCTCCTCCGGTCCACCGACACACCGGAGCCATGGAGGAAGAGTTGAAATGCCCCGTCTGCGGTTCTCTCTTCAAGGACCCCATCCTGCTGCCGTGCTCCCACAACGTCTGCCTGGCGTGTGCCCGGAACATCACGGTGCAGACGCCGGACGGAGAGACCCCGGTGCAGAGCCGCGCGTCCGGCAGCTCCGACTATGACTACCTGGACATGGACAAGATGAGCCTGTACAGCGAGACGGACAGCGGCTACGGCTCCTACACGCCGTGTCAGCTCAAGTCTCCGAACGGGGTGCGGGTGTTCCCCCCGGCCCTCCCCCACCGACACTGCTCCCTCACCTGTCCGCTGTGCCACCGGAGCGTCTCCCTGGACGAGCGAGGTCTCCGGGGCTTCTCTCGGAACCGGCTGCTGGAGGCCATCGTGGCTCGGTACCAGCAGAACCGCGCCTCCTCCTCCACTTCCTCCTCCTCCTCTTCCTCATCTTCTTCTTCTTCTTCATCATCATCCAAGGCGGTAAAGTGCCAGCTGTGCGACCGTAACCCGGTGGACGCGTCGGTGATGTGCGAGCAGTGCGACGTGTATTACTGCAACGCCTGCCAGCAGCGGTGCCACCCGTCCCGCGGTCCGCTCGCCAAGCACCGCCTGGTTCCACCGCCGAACCAGGCGGCCGGAGGAGCGGCCGGCGGCGGCGGAGGGAGCGGTGGTGGCGCCGGGGGAGGCAGCGGCGGCGGTCAGCAGCCGCCGGCCACCGCGCGTAAACCGGCGACCTGCGTGGATCACGAGGCGGAAAACTTCAGCATGTACTGCGGCAGCTGCAAGGCTCCGGTGTGTATGAAGTGTCTGGAGGAGGGAAAACACGCCAAACACGACGTGAA